GAGAGAGAAGAGAGAGAGAGAGAGAGAGAGAGAGAGAGAGAGAGAGAGAGAGAGAGAGAGACGAGAGAGAGAGAGAGAGAAGAGAGAGAGAGAGAGGAGAGAGAGAGAGAGAGAGAGAGATGAGAGAGAGAGATGAGAGAGAGGAGAGAGAGAGAGGAGAGAGAGAGAGAGAGAGAGAGAGAGAGAGAAGAGAGAGAGAGAGAGAGAGAGAGAGAGAGAGAGAGCGAGAGAGAGAGAGAGAGAGAGAGAGAGAGACGAGAGAGAGAGAGAGAGAGAGAGAGAGATATAAAAATGAGGGAAAGGAGAGAAGGAATAAGAAACAATAATAAATAATAAAATAAATTATATAAAATTAATAAACAAATAATAATAAAGACAAATAACAATAAAAATAATATCAATAAATCAACCTCACAGTGGGTAGGGTATGTCCGTACAAGACAATCCCAGCGGCATCGGGTTAACCATCAAAATACATTCAAACCAACACACTGAACGAAAACACACCAAGTCACTGAATATTTCACCACAATAATAGTAAATGAACGTTGCCATACCTATTGGAAGTATTGGTCCCCATAACCATATCTAGAGTAAGTATGAGTCACTATAACCATAGTTTAAGCCACCATAACTACAATAAAGGTGCTGTCACACTAGCACTTTTTCCGTCAATTTTTTGACAATTTTATTTAACATAAATACAAACATTCTCGAATATAACTCTGGATTTGAGTATGCTTGGCTGAAAAAGTTGATGTTAAGGTTTTCAGGTGGAAACGATCATTATCGTCTGACTGGAAAATCGACAATTCGCTCAAAAATGGACATAATTTTGGAAAATTGTTAAAAAATTGACAGAAAAAGTGCGTGTGACAGCACCTTAAGTCACCATAACTATATTGAGTATAAGTCGCCACAATCACGGTAAGAACATCCCCATAACCAAAACTTATCTCACTATATCTAATTAGATAATCATATTTGATGTCAATATGATATCAAATTTCGTAGAACTTGAAATCTGAAAGAAATCTGTCGAAACGTTATGAAAAATAAACTAAAAATAAATCTGAAAGAAATCTGTCAAAAAGTTGTAAGAAATAAACTGTAAAAATAAATCTGTTGAAATGACAATGATTAAGCTCTTCTGTAAATCGAATGAGCAAATCTGTAAATCAAAATAATCTGTAAATCGAATAAGAGATATGTAAATCAAAATCAAATTAAATCAAAATGCAATGTAAATCAAATTAAATCAAAATAAAAATGTAAAAAATCAAAAACAAATTTCAAAACCTGTAAAAAATCAAATAAATATGTGAACAATAAATTAATTACTAAAGCACCTGTAACAAATCAATGAAACACTGAAAAGATTAAAATAAAAGTCGATATAAAACTGAAGAAATCTGAAATCAAATTCGTAAGACAAATTCATTTAATTGTCTTACATCTAGGGTAAAAAAATCCTCCATAACTGAAGCCTCTCGGAGGAAAATTCCCTAAACATTTCCTGCTTTCGGGGAAATTCCTCAAAGAAAGACGAGATTTCCTGGAAATAATAGTGCGAGGGAAACAATTTCCCTCGGCTGTGTGGCCAATTTCACAGAATGTTCATAAATGTGTTAAATTTTGAGGATAACATTCCATTTTCTGGGTTTTCTTCTTAGAATATATAAGGATTGGGAGGAAATTCCCCAAATGTGCCATACTGGGGGGGAAATTCCCTAAATGTGCCATACTGGGGGGGAAATTCCCCAAACGTCTCATCAATGGGGGCAAATGGAAATTCCCCATATGTGCCATACTGGGGGGGAAATTCCCTAAATGTCTCCATGGGGGGAAATTCCCCAAATGTGTCATATTTGGGAGGAAATTCCCCAAACGTATCATATTTGGGGGGAAATTCCTCAAATGTGTCATTGTTTGGGGAAAAATCCCCAAATGTTAGGTTTAGTGGAAATTCCCCAAATGTGTCAATATTTTTGGGGAAAATTCTGCAATCAATGTCAATACTTTTGGGGAAAATTCTGCAATCGCGTGAAATTTCGGGGTAAAATTCCGTAGAACGTGCTATACATCACCCTGAAATTTCCCTCAAAAATGCATCCATTTCAGAAGAACAAATTCCCAAAAGAACACAACTTTTTACTGTAAACAATCTTCCTCAAAATAAATTCCTTTACAAATTAATCACATTTAGAGAATTACCTTAAGATGCCCAATTTCCAGGTGAAAAATAGAGGCCAATTTCCCTACAACTCCAATTTTAGGGAAAATTCATCCAAAACATCTAACTTTCTCGGGTCAAGATTCCAAAAGAAAAATGGTCTTTAAATCATCAAAATAAAATCAGAAATAACGTATTTATACAACAAAAATGTTCGTCTTGTACTTAGACTTTTCCGTTTATTGAAAAATAAATAAATAAATAAATAAATAAATCTCATGAA